TCTCATTTATGTTACAGCCAAGAAATGATTTTTATGTTTCATATATGAATCTGGTACTCTTTTAGGAATCACCCCAGCATTTACAATTAAGAATTCCTTTCCCATTCTCATTCTATCCCAAGAGATTATGTAATCTACTAAACTCAGGTGTTTTTTTTTGTACTTAAAAAATAAAAGTTAATATAAACCTTGTCCCTGGGGTTTCTAGACAATGTGTCAACAATGCAGAAGAAAACAAGCATCCCTAAAATCTTACGATGTACAAAGAATAAAAGAAAAAATTTTAAATTGCATAACACTTCAAATGATAACTGATGCTTAAAACAAAAGAGTGGATGAAGGTGGTTTCTTTTAAAAACCAAAAGTCAATTCCAAAAAAACATGACGACATCTGAAAAAAGATCTCACAGAATTTAGAAAGGATAATCGTATAAGATGATGGAAATGATAGCTACTGTGATTTGGACAACACAAAATATTCATGTTTCAAAATATCATACAGTATATCTCACACATATAGAAAATTATTATGTGCTGGTTAAAAAATATTAAAGGTACAGAAGTTTCTCATTGTAATTCCACCTGTACCATAATTGTTTCTTTTGTAGTTTATAAGATGTAACTGTGTATTTAAGAAAGAGCCAGTAAGTGTAACTATGATTACAGAGCTGAGAGTAACCCTCAGGGGCCCCCCAAATTCCAACAAACTAATCAGTTTTGTGTTTCTATACACAGTAATAGATAAATGTTCTGAGTCTCAATTTTTTAAGTTGAATATGGTGATCATATTAACCAGTTTGTAAAGCTCTTGTAAGAATTAAATGAGATGATATATGACAAAATCTTAATTTATTTGGTAGGAGGAGGGAGACTGTTAAGAGTCAGTTTTCCAAAGTGTTGAAGGTTGCTAGGTACATATTCACAGGAAGCAATATTGGAGAGTGAACAGATCTCTGCATCCCACGTTTATTGTGGAACTGTTCATAATCGTTAAGATACAGAATCAGGCCAGGTGCCCATTCATGGATGAATGAAGAGAATGTGTACATAAGTACACAAGGGATATTATTCAGCCTTAAAAAGAATGAAACCTTGTCACTTCCAGGATCATCGAAGAACTGGTGGACATTAAGTAAGTGAAATATGCCAGGCCCAGAAAGACACACACTGCCTGTCCTCACCCATGTGTGGAAGCTAAAGATAAGGGATCTCATGGAAGACAAGGGTGGACTAATGGCCAACGGAGCTGGGAAGAGTAGGGCACAGGAGAGAGAAAGATTAGATTACAGTACCTAAACACAGTTAGAAAAGACAAATGTGTTCTGCTCTTTTATAACATAGTAGTGTAATTATACACTAACCAACCTGTCTTTCAAAAAAGCTAAAAAAGAAGGCTCCAAAGTTTCCCAAATAAACAGTAATGACAAACACTCACAGAGGTGGAAGTGACAGTCCCCCTCAGTTCATCCCGACACATTGGACACATGTCAAGTTATCCTACTGAGTCCTGAAATATGTGCCAATATTATGTTTCCATTGAAAGAATATAAAAAGTATAGAAGAAGGGGTCTCCTGCTGCCACCGAACCATCAGGACCAAAGGACTGCCTTGGCCCATTTTTTTGCATTTGCATTTCTTTAAGTTGTCTGAACAACTTTCCTTGAATTGAAGTGGATTCTCTTTTTACTTCGATCTATTGTCTTGAGTTCTGGGCTCTGGATGATGAATCCCCATTAGGAATACAAAATATCTTCCCTAATTTATTATTTTTATAACTTATATTATGGCCTAATTAACCTAGAACAAGTGAAAAATACTGAAAACTGAAAATGCCTTGACTGCCTGTGACCTCATGAACATCCCAGCTGGGCAACACAGTACCTGTAGCCTCAGTGCAGTTCTGAGCTCTTACAAGCCCTTGCAATGTTGAACTGACAGGGCACATGCTCTCTGTTCTCAGCCTCATGAGGGTATCATACAGCCTAACACCAGCCTGGAAAAGAACCTAAGTTCGAAATTCAATATACAGTTGCTTCAGAATGCACATTGCTTTACACCATTTTAAAGTCAAGGAATAACAGGTAGAACCATCAAACCTTGGGGAGAGTCTGTATACTGTGCCCAGGTACCCCTCCTCTGAAACCTGCTCTCCTCCCTAAAGGTACACACAGCCACCCAACACACACCGCCCTGTATACACAGCACAATGTGATAACACAAGGCTCTTCTCACTCCCAGCCACACCCTAAGAAAGAAATGGATTCAAGCTACTGATATCAGATTAACTTGCCTGCATGAATGTAGAATTGCTCGTCAGAAATGCTAGGCTGTCAGTTTTCAGTCACAGGTTACATAGGGGTTCCCTTTTGCGATAGCCATTGTCTGACCTGTGTTAAAATAAACAATCAAAAAATATTCTCAATAAACAGAGGGGGTTGGCAAATGGACCTGGAGGAAGAAGTTCTAATAAGCACAAGGAGGTCCCCAGGAGACGTTAAGGAAGGAACAGTTTCCATTTGTCTGGTGGCATTCCAAGTCCCATTCTATCTCCTTGATGTCCTTGAGGTCAAAACCACATTAACCAAGAGAAGAGAGTAAGGACAACATCAGAGTGTTGAAAAGCACATACGTCAAACGTCTAAATAGAAGAAACTGTTACCTAGAGAGTAAATCAACAGCTCACCAAAGGAAATACACCCAGAACCACAAATGCTCTTTGTCCTGTTTTGTGAGACAGAATGGCCCTTCCTGTGCTCACCCCCATTGATTTCCCACTCATCTTCACAGGACTGGATGGCAGGTGAGGAGACCTCCGTCTCATTTTCCTCAGGCAGCTCTTTTCTTGGGTCTCAGTCTTTGTTTTTAATTGTTCTAAAGTTTACCACTGATGCATCATGATTGTTCATACTTGGGGTACAATGTGGCATGACAATATACATCCACACTGTGTACCCATCAGGTCAGGGTCATGTGTGTGCATACAGCACCTTGAACTTCCATGGTTTCTTCATGTGGGAACAGTCACAAAGCCTCTCCACCAGCTGCTTTGAAACCCACAAGTGTTGTCCACCACAGTTACCACGACATGGGAAGTTACTGCTCCAGGCTGTGCCCATGGACCCTCCTCTCTCTCCACCATGTCCTCACAGCCTCTGGTAACCACTGTTCAAATCTCTGACGCACCAGATGGGCTCACCCTGGTCCTGTTCTGGACTTAGTCCAACATTTGAGGGCCCCCTCCCTATACTCTACAAAATTGTGCTCCTGTGATGAGTACAACCTTTCACACACAGGACACTCTCCATATGGTACATCCCTGAGGACATGATGCCACACACATTTATTTGGCTATACTCTGTGGCATTTTAATGCAAGAGACAAATGAGCAGGAACTTTCATCTTCTCTTTTCACCTTTATGTTTTCATCTTTATGTTTTCACAATGATATGTGGACTCATGTGCATTATTTAGAAAGTTTACAGCATGGGAGAAGTTTTTAAATTTTTTTTGTTAGTGTATTATAGTTATACATCATAATAGGGTTCATTTTGAAGAAGTTCTGAAATAAAAATAATTGCAAGGCAATAGAACCAGGTTGAATATCTTGGTTTCAAAATAACCATAACAAACAACATTTTAAAAAGAATTAAACATAAAGGAAGAAAGAAATTTTAGCAATTTAATTATATCAACATGGGTTCATAATTAAATTGGTACATAATTTGATATGTGTGTATACACACACACACGTATACACACATACCTATATAGTTTTCCTATAATTATTTGTTGAATTAGGAATTATGTCTCAGCATATATGGAAATTTATTAAATGGCAAAATTATACTTGGTAAAGCTTAAAAAGTTAAATAAGAGCTGGTGTAAGTGGCTGTGTGCTTTAGTCAGCTTTTTCACTGCTGAGATCAAAGGACCCAACCAGAATAATTTTAAGGAGGAAATGTTGATTTGGTGACTCACAGCTTCAGAGGTCTCAGTCCATTAGATGGCTGACTCCCCTCCTTGGAGCTCAGGGTGAGGGAGAACACTGTGGTGGAGGAAAGCAGGTCAGGGCCTGACAATCAGGAAGCACGGAGCTCCACTCAATATAATATAAATACAATATAAACCCAAAAGGCATGCCCCCAGGGACCCACCTCCTCCAGCCATACCCCACCTGCCTAGAGTCACTCCTCAGTTAATCCCTATCAGGGGATTAATTCACGGACTGGCTTGAGGATCTCATAACCCTAATCATTTCGCTTCTAAACTTTCTTGCATTTTCTCACAATTGAGCTTTTGGAAAACAAATATCTAAGCCATAACACTGTGTATCTGGAGTAAAATAAAGATGGCCCCCTAGCTCACCTATCATATGATATCAAAAGGTCAGAGGAGTTAAAGAATTTGGTGTAAACGTAATTAACACTTTTCAGATAAACATCCAGGAAGACTATATACAAAATCTATGAGTGGGAAATTTATCTTAAGACAAGAAAATCAGAAGTAAGAAGAGAGACACATATTTAACTAAATAAAATATTAAAGTTTTTACTGCCAAAATGTAGGAAAACCAGTTAAGAAACAATAATCTGTAATGCTCATTTGAAATGTTAACTGTAGATAATGAACTATAATAAAAATAGATTGAAATGGTGATTGGACATATAAATATTTGCTGAAAATATTACATGGGAAAAACATGGATAGCTATTAAATCAATGGGGTTGGACGTTCTAAACAGGTGGGAAAAGGGATGCTCTGGTTTTTCTGGAAATGGG